ACATGTAAACTTCATCTGATTCCCAAGAACACCCAGAATGCAAATCAGTCTTACTTCTCACCAGTCCTCAAGTGCACACCTTTCCCTTAGCTGTCCCTTGTTGATTCCCACCTCACTTTATTTAAATTATTTCCCTTACCTGAAAGTAGATTGAGAACTTCATAAGAGCAGAGTCATGTATCATCCTACCAATATATCCCCATGTTGACTGCCATGGTGCTAGCTCTGAAGTAGGAAGTAATTACTTATCTGGAAAATCTTTACTTGGATCCAAATCTGGTGGTTTCTGCCACATGGTCTTGTGGACATTCATAGGTGACTAGGTGTAAATGATCCATGAACTCCTTCTTGTTCTGCTGGAATGGGTCTCCTAAGTAGAGGGCAGATTCTAAATTCTCCATATCCCATGAGGACAAATTGAGAAATTGCAGTATGGCAGATTAACTGGCAGCAAATGTGGAATTAATGTTGCATCACACCAACCTCTCTAAGGGGCAATAGGAGTAGCATTTGGGGGTCAGGCATCTCCCAAGCCACAGGCTGAAAAATTTGTTTAACTCCAAGGAATAGAGAACAAGAGAAATTGTAGTATCAGGTACTTATACATATGTATGCTTAGTAGAGGAAAGGATTATAAATAATGCCTATATTCAGGAACACAAAATACTGTTAGTATGATTTCTCTGACTTCCACTGACTAAATAAAAATAGGAAACCTCAATAAACATTTTGTGCCTACCTAAAATATATAAATATTTGTCTATCAATCACATATAGCCATGTTTTCTAAGGTTTTTTTGTTTTGTCTTGTTTTTTAATGGATTCCTAGATGTATTCCATGGAGAAAATAAACTTAGGTAATGTTTCCCTTCTACCATAGCAAACACACACACACAAAAACAAAAACAAATCAAAAAACTAGAAAACACTTGCAGCCAGGACATAATTTATTTTGTCTCATCTACAATTTTCCAAAGTCATTTATTTGTGAGATCTTTTATTTGCCTAACACATAAAAGGGTTCTATAGAATTAGCATTTCATAAGAAACATTTGGACAACTCTGCCTCTTCCAACAAACTTTGAATTTACTGTGTTGACTTCAAATCAGGTTTCTGAAATAGGAAATGCCAGAAGATTCAACTTCAGTGAATTGACTCAAGAAGATCTTTCTAAGGAAAGGAAAGAAGAGAAGGAGGATATAAAGGGAAAGGGGTAAAGAGAAAGAACCATCAAAGGAATCCCTTCTCTTATCCTTGCTTTCCCTTCCATTCTTCCCTATAATTGCACATTCTTTCTCATGGAAGTCTCCAAAAACTCTGTTTATACTCATATTAGTTTTAATATTTTCATTCTCAAAAGTTTTTGTGGACCTCGGTATTCTAGTTTCATTTTACAAACGAGAGAACTGAAGCTTAGAGAAATTCTCAAATTATTTGCTCTTATATATCTCCTAATCCAATGATGAAGATATTTACTCTTTGTCTATCAGTAAACAAACCTGATTGTTAGAATTAATTACCAGGCAAATAGTTTTTTAATGCATTACTATTGATCGGTAACGATATGCATTAATTACAGATGGGACAATGAATTTTCATTTTTTTTAAAGATTTTTATTTATTTATTTGACAGAGAGTGACACAGTGAGAGAGGGAACACAAGCAGGGGGAGTGGGAGAGGGAGAAGCAGCCTTCCCCTGGAGCAGGGAGCCTGATGCAGGGCTCGATCCCAGGACTCCAGGATCACGACCCGAGTGGAAGGCAGACGCCTAACAACTGAGCCACCCAGGCGCCCCTTCAGTTTTATTTTTTTAAGATTGATTGATTGATTTGAGAGAGAGAGAGAGATTGAACATGAGCAGGGGGAGGAGCAAAGGGAGAGAGGGAGAGAGAATTCTCAAGCAGACTCCCCACTGTGCACAGAGCTCTATCCCAGGACGCTGAGATCATGACCTGAGCCAAAATCAAGAGTCGGACACTCAACTGACTATGCCACTTAGGTGCCCCTGAATTTTCATTTTTAAAAATGATAATGATATGTGAAAAATATGTGATTTATCTAATGACCCTTGGTCAATGTCAAAGGTAAGAAAAAAACTAAACATTATATAATCATACACTATACAGTGATGATAATACACAGTGACAGATGTGCTATATCAAATGTAAAATTGCTAATATATACTTTTTGGCCATTAGATAATTGCATAGGCATGGCATTATAATCACCATACTACATTGTAAATTAGGTAAATATGGTGTCTATTTTTAAGAAGTTTGCTATCTAAGGAAAGCTAACTACATATATCATCTTTTTATATTCAGCTTTCTCCCAGAAATTTGTAAATTTATGTGCAGGGAAGAGATACTGCAATTATATACCTTTTTTCCTTTTTAAAACTCAAGTCTATGAAGACTTTCCAAAAGGTATCCCTTTCCTTCATCTTTTTTCCCAGCTCTCTTTTCCCTGGTGTTTTCAATCAGCCTATGAAAAATTGTGTAAGCTAGCCAGGTAAAGTTTTACACATTTTCAAAACAGCAGACATGAGGGAATCCTTAAGTTCCAAGTAGAGACATCAGAAAGCTATCTAGACAATTAAGGTATTGTCACATATATTTTTTCATAAAAAAAATTTCTGTAAGAAATTTCCCTGTAGGAAAACAAAAACTTCTGAAGTTGATAAAATATAGTGTAAATTATTCCCACTCTTATCTTACATTTGTCTCATTATAAGCTCTTCTAGTGCTTGTATAACATAATTCAAGGTAAAAATTACTGTTCAATTTGGGGAACATATTTTTTTCCAATAAATTCATTCCAGATAGAGGTAGTTTTTAAACAGGGGGGTTATTTTATATTTTTATCTGTTTTAAGTTGTATCAATGTAGACATAGATTGTAGGAACCAAAGAAATAGCCAAGTCTGATTTTAAACAGTTATAACTGATCTTTTGTGCATTATTCTTTGTGTGCCCTTTGCCTAGTGAAGACACTGGAAAACTTTATGTATAGTCTTAACTCTACATCTGTAAAAATAGAAAATGCTCATACTGATAGCATAGTCTCAGATAACTACCTTGAAGATTGCAACTTTTTTTTATATTTCTGTTAAAAGTCATTAAAGTGGTTGATTTATTTCATTACACTGAAAATGATGAACATATTTCACAAGGGTTTGCAAGTTGAAACATCCTACAGATGTATGTGAGTCGTCTCAGAAGTTTTAGTTATTAGATGTGTGTCACCTTTTCTTTTGCAGATTTCAGCAACAGAAACATACATGATCATGAACATTTGCAAGCAGACTATGAGGTGTTTCTCATTATGCAACACTATTACAACTTGTCCCTACTACTTTTCAAATTTATTTCTTAATCCAGGTGGCTGCCACATTGGAAAACACTGAAAATGTTTTTGCATAATTTTTGTTACCTCCATGAGGTAGATTTTAGATATAAATTGTGGAAGATTTTGCTACAGATTGTGTCTTGGACATATATACCAACTCTAATCTTGGACAAGACAACTATTCTGAGTCGAAGTTTCTTTATCAAGTTGAGCTAATAATTCCTATTTGACTCGATGTTATAAAGTTTAGCAGTGTTTGTCAAAGTGCCTTTTAAGGTATTAAGCACCATATATATAGAAGTAAAACATTTTGTTTATTGTCTGAGCATATACATGTATTTCTTTCCCCCGTGTGTGTGTATACACTGTATATACTATATACACACACAAGCACACACACAATATATATATATATTCTGCTAGCAGCATCAGCAGCATCTGGGAAGTTGTAAGAAATTCAGAATTTCTGCCTCATCCCAGACTTACTGAATCAGAATTGACATTTTAGGGTAAACCAAGAATCATGTTAAAGTTTGAAAAGCTTTGTTCCATGTGGTCTACTTATATAGTCTGATCTTTCCCTCTCTTTCCACGAACACACACATATATAGGTAGCAACAAGAGGGCTAGGTAAAAGAAGGTAGATTTATCATCCTGAGTTGATAAAAGAGCAGTCTAGGAAAGTACTTTATATTTTAAGTAGAACTGACCATCAATAATAGTGGAAAGATAGAAGGTATTAAGTAGCTCATTCCTGGAAAAATGTTTACTGCTGTCAATAATGAGGCAGAATGGATCATTGCACTGAAAGTTTGAATTAGATAATCTAAGACATCTCATCTAGTTTTGTAATTCTACTATACTTACAAACTTATATATTTATTGATATATATTCTAAACATGAATATTTGATTCCTATCTCCAACCTATATCTTTAGACATGTTTTGTATGAGCCCACAGGTAACAGATATTTTTAATTCCAAGATTTAAAATTGTTACCTTCTAAAGCAATCACAGTATATTTATATATATTTATCATATATAAATCATAGTATATTTATCTAATCTAGTGTTGGTTATTAGATAGCAATGCATAATTTGCATTCTAATTGCTACCTCAGTTGCTTTCTCATTATTTTCAGAAACTATTAAGGAGAATATAGAACAGTTGAGACTCACTATAATCTCTAAGAAATCTACTAGATGTGTGGACAACACTGTTACTCAACCAAAGGCCAAAGAGCTTGACAAGCCAGGCTTGTCAATACAGTTAGTTACTAACACTGAGCTTTTTGGTTCATGCCAAAAGATCAAGGCAAATCTTCTCCAGTGCATACTTATTGAAGTATGTGTTTTTTGCTTTTGTTTTTGTTGACATACAGAAAGCTGTATGTATTGAAAGGATACAGCTTGATGAGTTTGAAGATAAATATACACCATGAAACTCACATCACTACAGTCTATACCATAAGTGTATCTATCACCTCTACAAGTTTCTTCCTGTCCTCTATTTATGACTATTCTGTGTGAGTGGTAAGAACATTTAACTTAATAGCTGCCCTCTCAGAGAATGTTTAAGTGTAAAATATAGCATTGTTAAGAATAGGCACCATGGGGAAGTTGCTTTCTGAGGTAGCGTGCAGTCTTTGTCGGCTTCCACCATGGTGTATGGTGGCCAGGGCCAAAAAGTGCAGAAGGTGGTGGTTCAGCCCATCAACCTCATCTTCAAATACTTGCAAAATAGATCTCGTATTCAGGTGTGGCTTTATGAGCAAGTGAACATGCGAATAGAGGGCCGTATCATTGGTTTTGATGAGTACATGAACCTCGTATTAGATGATGCCGAAGAGATTCATTCTAAAACAAAGTCAAGAAAACAACTGTGTCAGATCATGCTAAAAGGAGACAATATTACCCTTCTCCAAAGTGTCTCCAACTAGAAATGATCAATGAAGTGAGAAATTCTTGAGAAGGCCATGTAGTTTGTTTTTTTAGATGTCCTTTGTTGGGAGTATAGTTCTAAAACATTTGTTCATATTGTTTTGATTACCTTTATGTTATTACCAGAGAACAATAAATGTTGTGGGATTTAAAAAAAAAAAAAAGAATAGGCACTATGGTGTACAAGAGATCTCTAGGACTTACTCATTTTGCATAACTGAAATTTTGTACCCTTTGACTATGTTGGAAGAAGCCATCCAGAGGATATTACTGCTGGTTGACCTGTGAGCTGTACCAAGGAAATTGGAGGCTCCTTGCCCCCTCCCCTGTTCTTGGAGTGTACATTCTACTCACTCTTCCCATAGCCAGAGCTGTTTCAAGGATGCAGTCTTGAGAGAGCAATGTGTTATTGAGACAATATGGACTGTAGATGTGACTGAACCCCATTTAAGACCTCTCTGTAAACTTTTAAAATTCTAGTGGGTGAGTGCCAAGATCTACTATCTAGTGACTGCCCAAGACAAGCCTCATATATAAGTTCCCTTGCTTATTAAAACAGCCACGAACCAGTCTGGAGGGGCCCACCTCTTTCTTCAGTCTTTCCTCTTCCTCTGTGTATGGAGAGCCAGTTACAGATTTCACCCAGGGAACTCCTGAGGTTTGCAAACCAACAGGCTAATACCACTAAGTTTCCCTTTCCCCCTAGCTGCTGGCAAACATGTGGTTAACCATACATAGTGCAAGAAAATAAATCTAACACATTGTTTCATCTCCTTTGAAGTTTGTCAACTAAATAAATGAATATGCTTTGTTGATGCATGTTATTATTTAAGGCAAGTATATTATTTGGTTGATTTACTTTTTACAATATACATTTTAGCAGCAGTGATGTTACACTGTCATTGTATGTGTTTAATGCCTTGGTTTATCATGTTACTAATGTGTTGTTTTTTCAAACTTAAAGATGTTTACATATTTTCCTTTCTTCCCAGCTGCAATATTTTTTAGATACATTTTGGAAGGAGGTTTTTATACACTAATAATAGAAAGAGTCCATGATACATGAAATCTCACTACTGATCATTAGGTGAAAAAATTCAAAACTCATTTCCAGTTTGGGAATTTAAATACCTTCAGATGACCATATTGAAATATTGACCAAATTAGAAATAGCTCCAACCCTTGGATATGCAAGAAGGTCATCCTTGCATTTTCGTTCTCACTAAAATATTGTCATGGTATTGGCAATACTTTACTTAAAAATGGAAAGAAGCCAATAACATCTAACTATGCCATGTGACATGTTAGCAATTAAGAAAAACAGCTACAAAACATATTATTCTATGAAAATGTTCACTTTGTCAAAATTTTTCTTCCAAGCAGACTTGTATATGTAAATAGAATTTTAATTGAAGATCTACAAATTTGCACTATGTCATATATTTAATTTCTATTTCAACTATTCTGGCATTTCTTTTTAAATCATTATTTTGTATCTGATCTATCGTATCTTTAATTATACATTTACCATTTCATATAAATTATAAAAAGTAAAGTTTTAGATCCCATCAGCTCTCAGCCACTGCTGCACAAGGATTTGGAAGAAAATAAAAAAGAAATGATCACATCTCTGTAGTCATTTGGGGAGAACACTATTTAAATTTGTTCTTAACACAGGGCTGAAATTAATCTTGATTTCCCGTCAGATGTACAGGGATTTTACAATATAGTTCATAATAGTGTTTAACTCCTCTAGGGTATGAGTTAAGATAAACAAGTCACTGACAGTGTTTATCTATAAATATAGCAGATGGTGTGGAACTGAGGTTGGTTATTAACTCCGCCGACTTTAATTTCATGGTTATAAAACACTGTAAACCTCACTGTTTATAAAAGGCAGGGAAGATTTCTTGGCTTCAGTAGCCAAGAAACCCTCTGTAACATTAATCTCTCTAACTGATATTCGGTATCCTCCTAGGGTGCAATATTTAAGATTGTGGAGTGATTGCTAGACACATTAAAATTTTCACTGGGATCATTAGCTAACATTTCTGTCATTGATCTATTATAACTTTGTTAATGAGTTCCATGTGAGTGAAATTTAGTGAATGAGACGATTCTTTCTAAACTTTGCTAGGTGAATGTTTAACAATTACTTTAGGCAGATATATTTAAGAGGCAGCCTAATTTGTCAGAATAGTAACCTTTTTTTTTAATGTAAAGATGAATCATGGTACCTAGCTAGACCAAATGTACTTAGGGATAGAATTTCATAAAGGAAAACTATAGCATCATTCAAATAATTAGCCAATGTATATTATATACATTTACATGTAAGCCATGAATCTGCCTCAAAATGCCATAGAATTTTAAATTTAAAAGAATTTTCAAAACATTGCAAAATGCCATAGAATTTTTTTAAAAGTAAAGCTATCCTTCATATTCTGAAGTGATTTGAATATAAAATTTTAATATAATTTGTTTCACTAAAACCTGTAAGATCAACTTGATTAAAATTAATTCTTCCCCAAAGAAGGAGCCACTAGTATAAAAATGCTATTATTTGAAATAGCTGTTTTCCCATTCCAACTTTATAGTGAATAACAAAATGTATTTTATGACCACAAAATTGAAAAAAAAAATTCACATGCTCTACCTCTATTTCTTTTACACTTAGAAGAGATTGATTTTTCAGTTCCTAAGAAAGTCCGACTTCTATAAATATATGATAACCCAATATGTAAGGCGGGGATTAAAAAAAATCTTGAACTAAAACATCTTCACCATATTAGAGTTCAAACTCCTCAAAAAATGGGTTTTCTAATAACAAAATCCTCCCTTTTCTACCTCTTATGCTGGGTTCCTTCTCTTGGACCCATATTGAGAGCTCTGTGCTTTCTGCTGATTATTCCTGGGACCTCAAATCTTGGCTTCCAAGCAGCTGGCTTATGGACAGCAACCCTCGGTGGAGAGAGGACTGGATCGGACTCTTGGTAATATGTCTTCCCGTCTCCCTTCCTACTCGGAGCCTCTTGTCAGTAATTCTCATCAGATGTATGATTCCACCATTTGATGCACTCATTTCTACAAACAACAGTCTATTCAGACTTCCAGGTCTTAAAGTATATGAAACAGTCAGTGTGGACAGCCAGTCTCTCAAGAGGAAACTTGATCTCATCTCCCCCACCCTTCTTTAAAGATTCCGATCCTACCTGAATCTTCATCATCAAAGAAGCTGGTTATTGGGCTATTGGTGTATTTAACATTCATGTCTTTGTTGAACTGAATCAAAACTAGGAGTGAGTTCACTTCAAAGTTATCAGTGAATGTCACCGAAAATGGATCTGTTAGTTAATCTTAAGGATCCCATCTTTTTGTCTTGTGAGTTGTGAAGGGAGGTAGAAATGTGTTTAGCAAAATGTTGCCACAAAGACTAGGGCCATAGAATGGCTTTTCCACAAGTGTGACACTTTCCCTTAAGTGTGACCAAAACTAGTTAACAATAATAGAAAGGGAAGGGATATACAAGAGACAGAGTAGGGAAATAAGGAAAGCTGGATGTTGAAGTCTGAGTGGAGGGGTAAACAGAGTGATTGCTTTAGGGACTCAATAAGAATTCATAAATACAGGGGTGCCTAGGTGGCTCTGTCAGTTAAGCATCTGCCTTTGGCTCAGGTCATTATCCCAGGGTCCTGGGATCGAGTCCCACATCATGCTCCCTGCTCGGTTGAGAGTCTGCTTCACCCTCTTACTCTCCCTGTGCTCTCTCTCTCTTTCTCAAATAAATAAATAATTTTTTAAAGGATTCATAAATCCAAAGAGTCTTAGGGAAATGAGATATTGTTAAAAGCATATTGAAACAATCACTCTCGTAAAAAAAAGGAATCCTTTTAATATCACAATGGGTAGTTTCAAGTTGATGATTTATTCCCCCCTGGTCTATATATAAGGTACAGTGAACTGTCATAAAGTATAATCTACTTTCCTAATCATGGTTTGGGAATAAAAACGAAAACAAACAGTTTCTGTAAAGAAATTATCTGATTAAAAGGTGGGAAAAAAACTGTTAAAATATAAGGAAAGTGCTCCTGCTTTCATCCTCATCTATCAGATTTTATTAAGATAGGGTCAGAAATAAATTGCTGCCTTGTAATATAATATAAAGCAAATTACAACCCATGGGAAAAAGTAATGTATGACTTTTAAATACCATAATCTCATTTTCATTATTTTCTTTCAGATTATCCGACCCTGTCTAATGTCAAAGGCATAGCATTGCATAAAGGAAAACCTGCAAAGGAGAGAACTCTAAGTGGATTTCATTCCCCTTTCAATGGTGAGTTAAAAATCTATCCTCTATATTTACTACTTATTCTCCCTAAAAAAAATCCAGTAATTTGTTGTTGTTGTTGTTGTCTTTAATCTTTTGTTTCTAGGAGAAGTAATCTATGCTGTCATGTGCATGACAGTCACCTGTGGAATCCTTCTCCTGGTTATGCTCAAGCTGAGGTAACTGGATACAACTCAGAAGGGAAAAGCTGGAACAGAATAGGCCTAGTTAAAGCACATTTCACAAAGGCAGACCTTACAAAGGGCCTGAGAATGAAAGCTTCTCCGTTAAGACATACTAAATCATTTTTTAATGTGGGATAGGTCCATGGAAACATTACTCTAAGTCTTCAGATGCAAAAGAAATGTGATCAGGGAGATTTTTTTTATGTTGCATTTTACCAGCACATGTGCATTTTTCCCCCCAATTAAACTGTTATCAATCTTTCTCCTGGTTTTCCTACAAAATCCAAGTTGAACTTTGCTGCATTCCTCATTCAAACCATTTGCAGGATTCATCCGCTTACATAACGGAGCTGTTGTGGACTTCATACAGTTTATATTTATCTGAAGATTTCCTCTTTACTCTAATTTCTTATATACTAATAAACTTTGTTCATGTTTTAATATACAGTTATTAAAAGAGACATTTGATGAGGCCTCACAGGGT